GTCCCACCAGCAGTGTAAAAGTGTTCCCTTCTCTTCCCATCCATGCCAGCATCTGCAGTTTTGAAACTTTGTGATGTGGGCCATTCTCACTGGGGGTCAGGTGATATCTCAGGGTGGTTTTGATTTGCATTTCTTCCATGATTAGAGATGATGAGCATTTTTTCATATGTTTGTTAGCCATTCATCTGTCTTTAGAGAAGGTTCTATTCATGTCTCTCCCCCAGTGATATGTGGGATTGTTGGGTCTTTTGTTGTTGATTAATTTGAGTTCTCTATAGATCCTAGTTATCAAGCTTTTGTCCAATTCATAAAATGCAAATATCTTTTCCCATTCTGAAGGTTATGTATTTGCTTTACAGAAGCTGTACAGAAGCTGTTCAGTTTAATTAAATCCCATTTGTTTATTTTTGTTTTGTTGCAATTGCCGCAGAAATCATTTTCATAAAATCTTTCCCCATGCTAGAATCTTTAAGTGTTTCCCCACACTTTGAGGGTTTTTATTGTTTCATGGGTTACATTTAAATCTTTTACGCATCTTGAATCCATGTTTGTAAGTGGTGAGAGGTGCAGGTCCAGTTTCAGTCTGTTACATGTGGTTATCCTGTTCACCCAACACCATTATTGAATAGGGATTCTTTTCCCCAGTGTATGTTCTTGTTTGGTTTATTAAAGATCAAGTGGATGTAAGATCTTAGTTTCATCTTATGGTTTTCTATTCAGTTCCAAATATCAGTGTCTCTTTTTTTGTGCCAATACCATGCTGTTTTGATCACTATGGCCTTGTAGCATAGCCGAAAGTCTCATAGGGTGATACCTCTGGCTTTGTTTTTGTTACTAAGAATTACTTTTGCTATCCAGGGTTTTTTCTGGTTCTATACAAAACAAAGAATTATTTTTTTCCAAATCTTGAAAGTATGATGATGGTATTTTAATGAGGATTGTATTGAATCTGTAGAATGTTTTGGGAAGTATAGTCATTTTTGACTTTGTTGATTATTCCCAGCCATGAGCATAGTATGTTCTTCCATTTGTTAATATCTTCTGTTATTTCTTTTTATAGGGTTTTCTTTGTAGAGGTCCTTTACCTCTTTTGCTATGTATATTCCTAGGTATTTCTTTCTTTTTTTCTTTCTTTTTTTTTTTTTTTTTGAAGCTACTGTGAAAGGAATTGTGTCATAATCAGCTTCTCATTTTGGCTGTTATTGGCATGTACACAGGCTACTAATTTGTGGACATTGCTATATTTTTTGATCACTTCCAGGAGTCTTGTGGTTGCATCTTTGGGGGTTCTCTTAAGTATAAGATCATATCATCAGTAAAGAGAGTTTAACCTACTCTGCCCCAGTTTGGATGCCCTTTATTTCTTTCTTTTGCCTGATTATATTGGCTAGAACTTCCAGCACTATGTTAAATAGTAGTGGCAATAGAGGACAACATTGTCTCGTTCCAGTTCTAAGTGGAAAAACTTTCAGTTTTACTCCATTGAGTATATTAGCTATGGGTTTGTTATAGAGAGCTTCGCTTTTTGGAGAGCAACTTTTTGTCATTTGTAAAGTCACTAAAAGTGATCAGTTTTTACTAAGATCACCTGGTATTAATTGCTATAGGCTACTGAAGAAATCAAAGCAGGTTAGGAAATCTTAGTAACTTTCTTGTAGTTTTGGGTTTTTTTTTTT